GTTGGGTTTGCCCATGTTTTATGTACGGTCATTGGCTTAGCATACAGTAAATACTGGAAGCGGCTACAGTTAGCCTGGCACTGTGCAGCCGTTTTGAGCTTTGTTGTCAGAGTAATTTTGGTTAGAGCCAGGCTAGTTGCTTTCAGTTTTTATGCTGAGCTGAGAGTATGTTGACAGCAGTTTTATGTTTAGCATACAGACAGGAATTTAGTATTGATATTAATCTCTAACTCTCTGAGTTAGAGGAAGAGAAAGGTGTGTGTGTGTGTGTGTGTGTGTGTGTGTTTGTGTGGCCTGGTATCTCTCATGTTGTGGGGACTTACATTACACAGTTACATTGTGAGGGCTCGACATCCTTATGGGGACAAAAGCAGGTTCCCAAAACCTAAATTAATACGTTTTAGAATGATGACTTTGTTTAAGGTTAAGGTGAGGGTAGGAAACACAACGTGTGTGTGTGTGGGCGTGTGTGTATGTGTGTGCTGCAGTTTTTTTCATTCTCACCTTGACATTACTCATTTATCTGGCTGTGTGCAACTCGGGCTTCATATGTCCAGGCTCACTGCAGTATGTCAGCTACAGTAGGAAACAAAAAGAGGACACAGAGTCAGAACCATGACCAAAGGCACATAAATCTCACATAAACAATTCATAATGTTGGGAATCTTCAGATTATTAAATATGTTCTATGGCCATTTTTGATTAGTTGATCATTAAGAAGGGTGATATGGAAAAACCACAGTGCGGGTTAAGGTGTCACAGCTAAGCCACCTTTAACCTGGTGAGATGCAAACTTTGGCATTAAGTCACTGCTGCTTATACGCACTCAGTGGAATCAAATTGTGAGGAAATTATAATGTGTTTACCAAATTTCCAAGCAAATTGTAATTAAAAACAAAATGGGTTGTTAAAAGGCCTGTGTGAGTCTTTACAGGTGGAGTGCTAACAACAGAAGAGTTTACTGCATTCTGCATTGTTTGACATTTTAAGTATGATTTTTGGATTCATTTGTCATATTGTGATGAATCATCTTGTTTATACTGTGATAGTATTGAAATGTGTGACTATTGTTTTCTGTTTTAATATGATCACTCAAATGCATTAATCTCCCAGCATGTTAAGCTCTTCGGGATCCTAAAGGTTATGGACTGACTGACTGTGAACTAGATGCATATTTCTCTGTGTTCGATGGTTCATTCTTTTTAGTTTGAATGTCAGGATTCATGCTTTACAATCAAACCTACTGAATTGTTGAATGGGGCTTTGATGGCCACTTTTCTTATCTTTGTATTCCTGTAAAGATAAATCGAATTGGATCTGAACCAAATGAGTTTTAAAAATGGCCTAATCGTTATGGACCTCATTGAATCAAAATCACTCTGAATCGTACTGTATCGTATCATTACAAATTTGCAGTATCGTTTTTGTATCTAATTGTGGACCATGTTTCGAGATGCATATAGAATCGTCAAAGGGAGAGATACACCCCCTATACAGTATATTTCTTATTAAGGCCCTGTACTGTGAATAAAATTTGACCTGTCAAGCTGATAACCTCAGGTGAGAACAAATTGTCATTGCAAGTCAGTCCTTCCATTCATCAGTTACTCATCAGGAATATACAGAAATGCATGGCTGTCCTTAAAATCCTTTAAGCAAAGTGACTTCTGGAAGCCCTGTTTTGCACCATAATTTAAAACCTCACTGTATGATTTATTTCTCACTAAGCATAAGGCCGTCAATTCACTGCATATGACATTATGGCTCATTCAATGCCGTCTGGGGAGAAATTATCATGCACGATGATGTCTATGAGTTAAACCCATACAGTAGAACAGATGCATGCCTGATGCTGAATTCAAAACACAATGAACCATTTGTGTTCAAAGAACAACAGACTTTCTGAAGAAAAACTAAAGGAGAAGAGCAGTGTTCTGCAGAATTCTGGATATCGTCTTTAAACCAGAGGAATCGGTTGAATGGGGAGTTTAATTATATATTTTCTAGGCTGTACTGATGATCATTTTGTGTAATTGGAAACAAACAAAAAAAACCTAAAACATCAAATATAATTTATCAGTTCTCCTTTGGAAAAAGAAATGTCTTCATTATTTTATGTTTGATATTTTCACTTTAGTTGAAGGATTATGTTAAATTCTCTAATTTCATAAAAACGCCATTGTTGTTCTAATAAACGTTTTTAAGATGAACTGAATAAACTGGCTCCAGAAAATTACTTTACTTTATTTTGACAAGAAAGTCAAAATTTCTGTCTCATAAAGCCAAAATTAAAGGCTGAAAATGTCAGACTTGGACAAGCCAAATGTGCTTTTCAGAGGCTGCATATTAAATATGATACATTTCTAAGTGCATATGTTACACCATTATGCTTTTCCTCATTTACTCTTTACTTTGAGATAGCCATAAAAATCATTGCAGCTTTGTGTTGTACATTAACATAATAATGCCACTAAACTGCTGTAATTTTAATGGGCAAAACAGCAGCTTTCCAATAAATGTCCTGAACCACATCCAAACTAATGTAACAGTAAGACTGGGCTGCTGTAATAAACCAAACCCAGGCCTAATATCTGACCCCGGAGACTTGATTTTGCCATTTTAGAAACCCATTATAGCAACGCTGACAGTAAAAGCCATCATAGCGACAAAACTTTGGCATAATGACTCTCAGGATAAAGAACAACATGTAAATGAAATGTGTGAAAAGCCCCAACACAAGACAAAACACTCTGGAATCACTTCAGATGCTGTTCAGGTCATTTTTTCACAGTGTATAAATTAACATTTAGCTGAGAAAAGGTCATTTTTTTGCCTTCTCAAGCTGTGCCATTTTTCACTTTCCATAATAAAAGCAAATATTTGTGATGGTATCTGTGATAATAGACTGAAACATCTTCGCACAATACTTACATGCATATTATCATTCCATACGGAGCTAACACACTGTAAACGTGTCAAATTTTAGCAAAACAAAAGGAAAGACATTAACACAACATGCTTCAAACTCATGCTTAATTCCTGTTCCCCCTAAAATGGGAGAAAATATTATCAGTGTTGTCGTAAACACGAGTACAAATCCCTGCTGTTATGGCAGTCGTACTCGGAGACTTCTGTTTCAGTCATTTCCATTCCACAGCCAGCATTTACATTTGTTTGATTTCCAGCAGCAGTGTGCGGTGCCTCTTTGTGCAACAATAGAGACACAAATAAATTAAGATCCATCCTTCCTGGCAGAGATGATTTATCTCTCTACTCAAGCTGTCTGAACTTTGAAAATACAACTTAACGTTATTCAGTGCTATTCCCAAACCTGTCTCCTACTGCCTGAATGTCTGTGCATGTTCTTGTAAAATATCAGTCTTATACAACTGCTAATAAAGAATTAGTAGAGCTTACTTTGGTGTGCAGATGCTGGATGAATCACTGGAATGTAATGCATCCCTATAGCTTCAACCCCACTGTGAATCCTTCTGCAGAAAATCAATGTCACACACACATTCACATTGGCTTTGGCTGCCCTCAGGAAGACAAATCATAAAACTAGTCAAACCAGCGATCAGAATTAGACAGACTGGAATTAAACAGAGCTGAGTGTAATGCCTCATGCACAATCCGTAGCAAGTCACTACCAGAACGAAAACATGCATTTCAATCTCATCAGCCTCTTAAAAAGACAAACATTATATAATTACAATGATTAAGATGAACTAAAGGCCAGCAGTATTATCAGAGCTGGAGATAGTAAAAGGATTAGGGGTGATTCACTTAGGGAAACTAATGGCCTCTAAAATAAACGACAGAAATTCATTAGCAGATCTAACTGACAGCTGAATATCGCCATGTTTAACAGCACAGAGAAGAAAGCAGCTAAGGATAAGTTAACTAAACAACAGGTTGACTTATCCAGAACAGTGCAGAGAAGTCACTTATAGTGCCACATACGGTGTAGTATGTGTGAAAAGAAAAAAATAAAAGCACCTTCAGGAAAAGCTGAGAGCAGATCTGCAGTGAGCAGATGAGCACTGACCCAATCTGACCCACTTCTTCCTGATTTATGGTTTATGGTCCCTCAGCAGACACAGCTTTGTTCTGGGGGGTCATAAATCTCCTGCACCCCAGAGCCGATCAGCTAACCCTCCAATCCTGGCAGCCACCCCCTTCGCACAGCCCCGTCTACCGGCTGGCGCCGCGCTCTCAACACAAACAAAGCAGAAATCACTCGAGTTGCAAGCGCAGGCAGTTAATCACTGTGAGCAGACAATAGTATGAAATGGAGCCAAGCAGGCCGATTCACTGCAACTGCTGAAGCACTCAGACAGGACATCTGAGGTTTACCTGTTTGTTAACCTCTGCTCCGAGCACAGGAGGTGTTTTCCTAAAAAATGAAATGAAGTTTTCACTGTTTGAAATAAACCAGCTGAAAGTAAGAAAGACTGAGCTGTAAAGGTGTAAGGACACCTCATTGCTGCATTTATGCCTCCAGTCATGCTGTAACGGCTAAATGCCAGACTAATTATGAGAGACATTAATAGGTGTGATGAACAGAGCACATGACTGGTGAGACTCTAAGAAGTTGGATCATAAAAGTGGCAAACATTTCTAATTGCAGCCCAGCTCAGCTGGTTAACAGCTGCAGCATGGGAAGCACTGCATGTCTGAGATGAGTTATGTGGTCTGGATCAGGCATGGTGACTGTCAGAGGCAAAAGAACAGAAAAAGGAGAGAACGATAGAAGACCCTAACCCTAATACCTAACCCAAAAGCAGAAGGAACAGGAGGGAAACAGCACGAGACAGTGATGCAGGAAGAGGAGAGTCAAATATTCCTCCACTAAGATATTGGTGTGGAAATAAATGCGTATAAATAAATGAGGAGAATACAAATCAAATCGCTGAGTGGAGGGGGAAAGCGTTGCCTCTTGCAGCAACACCATCACAAAAAATTTCTAAGTCATTAGGGGTGTGAAGATGAGCAGATACGAATAGGAAAATTGATACAAGAGTCAGATTGACAGCTGCATCAGTTGAAACCCACTGATTCGAACCAGAAGAGTTTTTAAAATGGTCTAAAATTGATATGGATATCATAAACCGATTTTTGGCAATCTTTCTGTTACTTCTCGCAGTGCTCCACTGTGGTGTCAGTGTATGCACCATCTCCTGCCGGCGTTCAAATGCCACCTTCTTAATGACGCAGGTCCAGAAAAAGCATGCGCACAGTCCAGAAAGCTGCAGGAGCAAACAGTGCTAGTATTAGTAGCTACCTCAGAGCGCAGAACATGCAGCGCTTGTGCTGAGAAAGTACTGGGAGAGTACCACCAACCTCGCAAGTAGACACATTACAAAGGCAATACACTGTTGAACAGCTTGAGGCAAGCAAGTGCTATTGTTAGCAACTAATGTTATGTTTAGAGTGCAGAACTTGTAGTGCTTGTGTCAAGTATACCGGGAGGAGTAACATGGGCCATGCTAGCAGCAACGTTACAAAGACGACACATTGTTAAACTGATGGAAACAGGACAGTTTGCTGTGAGAGCAGTCAGCATGAGGCAAGTA